AAAATTATACAGTCAGCATACTAAGTAAGCACACAGCATTTTCTCCATTCCAGGAACTAGCTTCTCAGTCATTTTTCTTCTCACTTCTTCAAAGAGAGCATAAAGACTTCAGGTAGCCTAATCCCGTGGAGAAAAGATGAGCATTGGTGCACACTTCCAACTAGTTTCCCCACAGAAACCAAGCTTAAGCAATCACATTGCGTAAGCACGTCCATGTTCTTGTAATAAGTTTTGAGCTGTGGGGTCTATTTCAACCAAACTGACCATGTCAAGCGTCACAGATGACAAGTTCCACCTGCTTAGCAGAAAATGGACACTATCCCAGTGTGCTCAAAAAGTATTAGACTAGAGAGCACTCCATCTTTACTAGATGTCCAGTTCCTCAAGGTTGAGATAAAAATCCAAAAAATTCAGACCACTTCTCAACAGTGGCTGATGCCACCTTTCACCATACATGCGCTGACTTCTTAGGAACATTTGAATGCTTCTTCCCATTGGGGTCCCTCTGTTTTACTGTAAAGATAGGGCAATCAGGAATTTGACCAAGAAAACTTCAGTGTAGGAACTCCATATTACTCCTGCATGATCTTGTTTTCAGCTACATACTGATGGTACTGGGAGGATGAGTTCAGATGGAAAGAGCTGGATCAAACAGATTGAAGGCAGATGTAGAAGGGCCCCATTTATCCTTTTTTGTTCACTCAAGAATGCTTTGCTCCACAAGATTCCCAGTTTCTTAAAAGAGTTAAAATAGTTAATATGTGAGTAGGGATAGCTAGGCTTCCCAGCTGGGCTTCTGGGGTTGGGGTCCAATACAATACCTAAACAGACAGGTTTCTTTATTCACTAATCATGTGCTCACCTTCCAAGGGTAATCATCTGAGAAACTGAAAAGACTGTCTGGTGAGGGGGGAGCTCCTTTTTCTGAGGATGGGAAGGTTAGGTCAAGTTAATTGTCCTCTGCTTTTCTACGAACCCATCATTAAAAAGAAATTGTGTATAACATATCATATCATAGATGTTCATACCTGTGTGGACAAGCAGCAAATCCTGGAATCTTGTACTGATTTGTGTTTCCCATAAGCTGTAATCTGATGCAGATTTTTTGCACTGTAGTAAAGCAGGCTTCATGTAGCATACTACACAAAAATAAGTTCCTGTTTCTACATTGTTTCACATGGATCTGAGAACGTCTAAAGGAAGAATTCAACTGCCTTAACCATACCGTCAAGTTATCATAAACATCGTTCTGTTTCTAAAAACCAGACATACCCAAATCCTCTGAACTCACTGTTTATGTTAAAACAGTAGCAGCAGCGTATTAACCAGCTGCGTTTACTTACTTTGCCTGTTGACAACTGTAGTCCTGAAAATCTTCTGTCTTCACTTTAAAGCTCCTTCATACAGGTGTACTGTCAACACAGCTAGTCAATTTGCCTCTGCTTCTATCTACACAGAATAAATTTTCCTTCCTCAAACTACAGTGATCTGAAAAAGGCAAAATTTTTCAACCATGTTGGTATGCTGGAGGGAATAAAAATCATAGTATTACTGTGACAAGTGAAAAAGGCTCTTTGCCTTTTCATGCTATTGCTAGCTAGAACACCATTACACAAGTAAGACAGTGACTGTTTCAGTCTTGGGACACCAGAACAATACTATTCCGAAAAGTGAAAACCTTGGATAATCACAGCCCTCTGAGCTTATTTCCACCATTGCAATGCAGAATACTGTCCAATTAGTACTCTTACACTCTTCCTGACAGCACAAGTCACAACCTTCAGTTCTGGTAAGGACTGCTGGGACAGGAATACTGCTCAAACCCTCGAACGGTCCCCTGTGCTGGCTGATGGCAATTATGCATCATCCAAGGTTTCCATACAGTATGTAAATGAAGATTTCCTTTTGGAACCGTTTTGACTGTTTACTGTATCATTAAAACACTGAGCTACTTACAACCCGATATCCTGCCTCTCACCTCCAACCTGATTGCTTTAAAGCAGAGTAGATACATGGTTGTCAGATCACTGCCATAGCATCCAAGTGCAAAGACACTCAAAAACCCATGATATGGGTCTCAATTCCCAGGTATGCTGAAAAACAAGAAGGGAAGGAAAATATCCTCTTCGTTTCACCACAGTGTGGAAACTCTCCAGAAAGGAGCTCACAGTTCTGCAGGTTTTTTCAAATGGTCACTGAAGAACAGGACATCGAAAATTTAAAACGTGCACAGCCCTTTTGTTGCAAATTTCTTAAGTGCAGCAACCACAGTGAAGGATGCCATGTAAGGCCAAGAAAAATCAGTCACGAGGACACAAAAATACCCAGACCCACTGATCAGTGTACTTTAGGTGTATTTTTTATTTACAGAGTGGAGATGCCTAATCAGTTATAAGGTTAGACACTTGATAATTCAGGGTTTTTTTGTAAAAGTATATAAATATATACATGAAACTCTATAAAGTAAACATTAACTGTGATACTTACAGTAAGCATTCACTACTACCCTTACACTAACAGGCATCTCTTGAAACTCCAATGCCGATTTCAAGATACCCTCTATAAAATAGCTGTAACTGTATTAAAAGGGCAAAAATTCTGTGCCATAAACAAGCTTTTAAAAGAGACTAGTAAAACGTCTTTGTAATAAAGTTTGCCAGGATAAAAATACTGCTTCATCCCTCCCACTCCCCCACCCCATAAGAAACAAACACCCCAAAAACAGTCGCAGTACCACGGGAAGTACTGTAAGATTACTTTTTTCTTCTTCTTTACTTTTTTTTAAATTAAAATATTTATTTCAGTATTTTATCACATATTAAGGAAGCTGCAAAAAAATGCAGCTTTATTAAATATTATTTACTGTTATACAAAAATCTCACATGCGTCCATGGGGCTGAAGACATTAGTGGTATTGTGTGAGCTATCCCTTTTCCTTATAACTATATACGTTATTTGGAATGATGGACAGACTTTACAGAAAAGACATTTGACAGCAACTGAAGAAAGGGACTGGAAAACTATCAGCAGAACAAAGAAAACATGTGAGAACCTCTAGACCTCCTTGCTTCCTTATTTTAAAAGCACTTCTGCTTCAGTATTCTATTTGCCTCTCTGCTGTTCTTCATGTTGGAGATGATTCAGGACATAAAGGACAACTTGATAGCAGAAAATGTACTGATCCTGCAAGGGAAAGGGAATCACAGAACACGTGAAAAATGCGTGCACCACCTAAGCAATTCACTCTCACCTGCACTTCACAGGTGCACAGCACTTGATTTCAAGACTATTTCTAAAGTTAAATAAAAAAGCCACAAAACAAAAAACCCACAGCAGAGAAATACGCAACATTAACTCAAAACAAATACAGGCACTCCCTGCCACTAAAGATATATTTTAAATATTTTAATATGGGACACTTGTCCTCCTTTCACACCAAAACCACCTAAAGCAGAGCAAGTACTTTACATAAGTAGAAACGAAGAGAGCAAGTGAATTTCAAGGTCTTGTATCAATGTCAACTAATACAGCACTCGGATGACAGTGCAACTTGTCTTAATTTCAGTGATACAGATGTGGGGGCTAATATATGTTTTGTGGTGTGAGGTTTGGGCTGATAGTTTTGTGGTTTAGTTTTAGGGGTTTTTGGTGGTTTGATTTCTTGAGTGTGTTTTTTTTTTTTTTAAAAAAAAAACACTTTGATTTGACAATTCCTTCACATTCAAAGAAAAAGTGCAGATTTTAGCAAGACCTTGTGATGTCAATCTCTAAGGTAAAGTTAATTAGCTCTAGCTCTAGATTATTCATAAAACATTCATTTAACTTCTGGTTGAAATCTCCCCAAAGGAGATTTCAAGACTCCTCTGGTAGTATCAGTGATTCGTAGCAGCTACAGTTAAGCCTTCTTTTCAGTTTATAATGCAATTTTTAGCCAAAAAAGCTCACCTGATTTCCTCTATAACACATGCTTTTGAAGACAGAAATGTGCAACTTTTTTTTTTAAAAAAAAACATAGATCAAAATAGCACAGCATGTTAAAAATCACATGCCTTTGTAACTGTTAAAACACATACTGCTGCTTACTGGTATGCATCTGATTTAATTCTCACAACACAGACGTTGCATTAGAAGGCACAAAGACAACCACTGTGTGCATCACGGAAAGCTTCCTGGCACAGAGTTAGAATTCAAGTGTCTTTCCTTTAGTCTCTATCTGGGGGTGCCAGACTCACCTCTGTCTGAACCATTCCATGTCTCTGCAGACGCATCGTTCGCACCAGGTCTGAGATATCAAACTACCAAAAGAAACAGCAAGTTAAACATTCAAAAAAGACATACATGCATGTAAAGGGAACATCCCCAGCATCAAACCAAGGAATCCAACTAGGTTCATGAAACATTCAGTAGTGAAACAAATAACAATTCACTATGCATATCTGGCAGGCAATCAGCATCTGCTGTCTCTGGGCAATATAGATGTGGCCCTCCTACATCACACACCATTCTTTTTTTTTTTTTTTTTTTTCCCCCTCTGTGCACAATCTCTCCCTTACTCTTATAGGGAGCTAAGTGTGCACAAAATAGAGCCACTCAGTCCAACCTAACAAAATGCTTTTTATTTCCCCAGGTCTATAAAGTTCTAGATATTTAGTGGGTGCTTAGAAACTCCACTGAGCTAAGCACGACATAGTTCATCATCTTTACAAATTCACAAAAACATTTGCTACACCAGGCCACTGAAGGACATAAACATAAGGAAGCTAGCACCCTCTTGTGGATCACCCTGGAATTCATATCCCTGGTTGTGCTGAAAAAGTTACTTTACATACCCTCATCTCCAGCTGAGATGTTTGTACATCGAGTTTTTCCTTCAGTTGCCTAAGCAGATACTGATTGGCGTCTAGCTGCCCTCCAACAGTTCATGGATCTCTGACCGACCGAGTGGCACAACTCTCAGCTCTAATGCTATTCAATACGATAGCTTCACTGAGTACATCCAGCCTGGTAAGGCAGGCGTTTTAACTGTTCCTTCAATTGCTTGAGTCATCATGGTAACACACCGTTGTTCCCAAGCCATGTGCCAGAAGTCAGCCACGGTAGGAGATGTCCTTGCAACATACCCCGAATGTCTCAAGTGGCACCTAACTGTGTTAGACTGCTGAGGTGTAAACAAACAGGACACTCAACAAGATTCCCTGAGCTAATGCAAGAACCAGCAGATGTCAGAGCTCATTCCCCTCAGGATCATCAACAACGAAACATTTCACAGGTACTGCTGTTTCACACCCTGATTTATGTTACATTAACACATGGCCAGCATGCTACTCTCAAAAGCATGGCATATTCTTTAAACAATTGAATAGATCCAATGGAACCCATTTCCTGCAAGTCAAAAGCACAGCTCAGCTCCCCCTCTTGGGTACTCACCTCGAGGTCTCTGCTGATCAACCCTAGAACAACATCTATACAAATAAGGGTCCCCGACCGTCCAATTCCTGCACTACAGTGCGTTATGATGGGTCCCGATTTGTGGACATGTCGCATGTAGGATATAAAAGTAAGCAGGTCATCTGGTTGAGAAGGAGTGTCATGGTCAGGCCAGGCAATGAAGTTCAGATGGGAAATGTGCCGTACTTCACCTGTCTGCAGTGTAAAAACAACAGCAACAACAAAGTGTAACGCACTGGCACAATGAAAAGACAAAAGGTAAGTTCTCAAAGGAAACAGTCTCAGAAGAGAGGGATTTGCCCCATAAAGTGTTCTGTAATTCAATAAAACGAGAAACAATGAGCTAAACTGAAAATAACTAGCAAGTAATTGAATAATACAAGGTTCACTGTGCAAACTGAGCTGATCACACAGAGGAATGAACCACTCAGACTGAATTATCAGTGATTTTCATATCCTTATACATGTTTCTGTGGGCAAAGGCACCTAGGGAGCTAAAATTTAGAGTCTCATTACCATAATCAAATCATCTCCTGGCCCAACCACCTTTTCCTACAAAGGTGCTACAGAGTAGCACAAGCTGCAATGAGAAAGAGTTGCCCAGTAATGATCACTGGTCAAAGAGGAGAAACCCCGGGTTACCACTTGATGTAGACATTGCAATTGAAAGCAGGCAAGCCACAAGTATGAGGATAAAAATGCCAACACTTAGAAAAAATTTCTCAGCATGTTGAATTAAATTCACTTACCTGAATCTCTTCTAGCTCCAGCACTCTAATGATAAAGCCCTTCAGCTGCTGGAGTCTCACAAGAGCAAGCCGTAATCTATCATTTATCATGGTGGTTTTATTGAGCACATCTGGCCAGTAACGCTGGCATTTTATCTTTTCTCCTTCAACTTCCTGAGTCATCATGGCAATCACAGTACAGTTTTGCTCCCAAACCATCTGCCAGAAATCTGCTACAGTAGTAGGGAGAGGTCCTTGACATGCAATGTAAACGAACTCTTCATTCCCCACTGGCATGCGAATGAAGCTGGCATTGATGTATCCACCTTCGATTCCAAGAGGTACTCTAGTGGTATCATCTGCAATCCCCACAGAACAAAAACACCTCCAAGTTATGTGTGCACATAATTAGAACTTCACTCAATAAACATGCTGAGTCTTACACACTCACACAGTACTTATCTTCATAGATTCTTTTAGATCTCATTGGAAAAAATATATAAAAAAAAAAATCACTACAACATTTGCTTTAGGATACTAATCAGTACTCATCTCTGAATAAAGAAAAAGATGGCTAGGGGAGAAATCTAAATCAACAAACAGGCAGGATACATGATTTGAACTACAGCACCTCTGAAACTGAGGCTGAGTATTTCTCACTCCCAACTAACCTTTGGTCAGTTCTCACTTCTCCACACATGTCCCACCTAACAAACTGAATTTTATTGTAGGAAGTTTACGGACAATAGTATACATGTCTGTTTTTGCAATTTTACATGGGTAAAACTGAAAAAAATCTTGTCAGACTCCATATGAATATCTCATTTAAGACACAGGATCCACCAAAACAACTGAAGAATCTGAAGATCCATCTCTACCTACTACCGTAGTCTACTGTTCACTGATCTTAAACCGCCACAAACACTTGCTTTAAATGTGTAGAAAATGAGTGGCAGGGTAATTTTTTGCCCTACTCAGTAGCAGAACTAGGACTGGGAATCAAACCATCCCACTTCTGACTCAATTTGTCTGACCATATAGGTGGTGACAAAGTATCAACAGTGAACTTCAGATGAGTTAGGACTTACAAGGAAGTATGTTTTTATATCTGTTCTTTTTCCTGTTCTCCTTCGCTTGTCCAATCAAACACTGATCCAAAGGTTTTAGCTCCTGAAGGTTCTATAAAGCAGCAATTACATATGCATTAGAAAGCGATGAATGATAACCAGTGTTAAAAGCAGTTATGTAACTAAGTCCTTAACAGGCAGAGTCATTAAAAAAATATCCTAATGCAGATATGCAAAACAATTCAGTCACAGGAAGGAATCTAATTTCACATAGCTAAGAAAATGAAACAAAGAAAATCACTATCATCCAGTAAATATTTCATCTCATTCTCCAAAAAAAGAGATCGTGTAACATGGCTGACCTAAGACTTTGGAAGGGCTGTTTTCACATTCTGCAGCTATATTTCGAAGCCTTTACTTAACTTGTCTATTAAGGTCACATTCACTTGGTAATTTACCAGAAGTAAGAATGATGCAAACACACTTTTGAATTGAATTCCCAGTTCAAACTAATCTTATGTCCCAGCAGCTGGGGCGGGGAAGGAAGAGAAGTCTTCGGTAAAAGAAGTCTTTAGAGTTGCAAACTAAAGAGCTGTGGTACCTAAGGAAGTGATGAATCGGCCATTCTATGTTTCATACTAGAAAAAAGGACTTTAAAGGACAAATATTTACTCACTTCAATCTCTTTAGAAGGGACTCCCTGTTCCAGCAATCCACGCAACATCCGGATCACTGACTTCAATTTGGCTCCTGAGTACTTGCCCCCAGGGAGCACATTCACAGTAGGGAGCGCAGAGATCTCTTCGTTTGTCACTAAAGGGAAATCTAGCAGAAGAACAAGACCGACTTGTATCCAAAAAAAAAAAAAAAAAGCTAAAACTAGGGAAACAAACTGTAGTGCAATGTTGGGTTTCCTTGTTGCTGTTCACCACTGTACTACTTGTTTTCTCAAGAATGCCTCCGTACACCAGAGAGAATATACAGACGTCCTCTCAGTTTGACAGGCAAAAGCAAATTAACAAAACCAGTACGATGGAATCCAGGAACCAAAGGGAGCATTTTCCTGAACTTCCAATAAACACAGTGAAACAACTTCAAATACATTTTAGATATAAGTTATTCACACAATAACCTACAAAATTGAAGAATGCACACAGGGATGCACTCCAGTTAAATATCATAGCCTGTGACTCTGTTTTTAGTACATTTGTTGGAGAAATAAGGGAGATTAAACAGAAGGGATTACTCAACCTCTGTAAGATAACTCTGAGGAGGGGAGAGGATGACACTATAAATCCATCAAACAAGGAAACACCAAGATAAGCACAAGGGAGCTAAACACGCTGACTAACAACAGAGATAATCACTTGAACTTTGAGGGAACCTAACTAGCATGGTCAAAAACCCACCCTCAGGTAGGGAAAAGCATTCTACCAAGAAATGCCCCTTCCTTTCTGAACATGTGCAGTAAAAAAGGAGGACACTGTGACTTTAAATCGACAGGACTTTGCCAGAACCAATGGGAAAGAGGATAACGGAGCTTATCTGTAAAAACACTGATAACTGTCCCTTAGAATGTAATAAAAGGTCACTGTGCTAGTCAGGGTGTGCCAGCTTTGTGGGATTGCCACCTCACAGCCATCTCTGTGCAGACATGCAATAAACAAATATCTCCACTCTGCACGTGGATCGGCTCTTTGCGCACCAGGTGAAAGAACCCTGACTTTTGGGACAACACTTACACTCAACCTGTCTTTCAAGTGGTAATCGTAATATGTGTTAAATACATCTTTTTTTTTTTTTTTCCCAATAAAGCTCGTTTTCTATCAGGCCTTCAGTGTTTCTCTGAAGCACAACAAAATTAATAAACCACGAGCCTCTCTGATATCGCAATTAAAAGTGTCCTAAATCTGCTGACTCAGTCTAAATGTTTACACGGACTATCCTTTTTCTCTTAATGAATGCAGACAAAAGGCTGCTGTATATGAATTTAAAGAACTGACATTTCTCATGCTACTGCAAAAAGTGAAGACTAAATTCTGTCAAACGCATCAAATAGTGTTTCACTCTGCCACGTGAGCAGCAGTGGAAAAGTGAGAGTCAAGACAAAGAAAAAAATATTGCCTAATTTGAGCATGGAGTAGCTGGTATGATGTAGATGGTAGAGCAGTGGATGTGGTCTATCTTGACTTCAGTAAAGCATTTGTGTTTTCCAGTAAAGCATCCTCACAGCTAAACTGAGGAAGTGTGGTCTGGATGATTGGATAGTGAGGTGGATTGTGAACTGGCTGAAGGACAGAAGCCAGACAGTAGTGGCCAATGGGACAGAGTCCAGTTGGAGGCTTGTATCCAGTGGAGCCCCTCAAGGGTCAGTACTGGGACCTGTACTGTTCAACATATTCATCGATGATTTGGATGAGGGAACAGAGTGCACGGTCAGCAAGTTTGCTGATGACACTAAACTGGGAGGAGTGGCTGACACACCTAAAGGCTGTGCTGTCAGTCAGAGAGACCTGGACAGGCTGGAGAGTTGGGTGGGGAGAAATTTAAGGAAATACAACAAGGGCAAGTGTAGAGTCTTG